GATAGAAATTTTAGAATTTCTTTGAACTGAATGATAGTGACACAACCTATCAAAGTCTCTGGGATACAGCAAAAGTGGTGTAAGAAGAAAGTTCATAGCATTAAGTGCCTACACCAAAAAATCTGAAAGAGCATAAATGGACAATCTAAGCTTACACCTCAAGGAACTACAGAAATGAAAACAAACCAAACCCAAACCCAGAAGAAGAAAAGAAATAACAAAGATCAGAGCAGAACTAAATGAAATTGGAACAAACAAAAAAGCCATATACAAGATAAATGAAACATAAAGCTTGTTCTTTGAAAAGATAAAATTGATAGGCAATTAGTGAGATAAACTAAGAAAAGAAGAGAGAAGAGCCAAATAAGCTCAGTTTGAAACAAAAAGGGAGATATTACAACTGATAACACAGAAATACAAAAGATCATTCAAGGCTACTAAGGACACCTTCATGGGCACAAACTAGAAAACTTAGAGAAGATGAATAAATTCCTGGAAATATACAAACTCCCAATAACCAGAAGCAAGATTAAAATGGTAATACAAATTGACAACAATAAAAGTCCAGGATCAGACAGATTCACAGCTGAATTCTATCAAACATTCAAAGAAGAATTGGTACCACTCCTACTGAAACTATTCCAAAAGATAGAGAAAGAGGGAATCCTTTCTAAATTATCCTTTGAAGCCAATATTACCCTACTACCAAGAAATAATCATAATAACATAGCTAAAAAAGAAAACCACAGACCAATATCCCTGATGAATATAGATGCAAAAAATCCTCAGCAAAATACTAGCTAACCAAATTCAACAGCATATCAACAAGATAATCCATAATCATCAAGTGGATTTCATAACATAGATTTAGGCACTTAATATAGGCAAGTCAATAAATGTGATACACCACATAAATACAAGTAAAAACAAAAATCACCTGATCACCTCAATAGATGCAGAAAAAGCATTTGACAAAATTCAGCATCCATCCCTTTATGATTAAAATCCTCAGCAAAATCAGCATAGAAGGGACATATGTTAAGGTAATAAAAGCCATCAATGACAAACACACAGCCAAATTGTACTGAATAGGGAAAAGTTGAAAGTGTTGCTCCTGAGAACAAATCAAAGATGCCCAGTTTCACCACTTCTATTCAACACAGTACTCGAAGTCATAGCCAGTGTGAACAGAGAAGAGAAAGAAATAAAGGGCATCCAAATGAATAAAGAGGAACTCAAACTGTTGCTGTTTGCTGATAATATGATAGTATGACTAGAAAACCCTAAAGACTCTTCCAAAAATCTCCTAGGTCTTATCAATGAATTGAGTAACGTTACAGGTTACAAAATTAATGTATACAAATCAGTAGCACTGCTATACACCAACAGCAATCAAGCTGAGAATCAAATCAAGAACTCCACCACTTTTACTATAGTGGAAAAATAAAAAAACACTTAGAAATATACCTAACCAAAGACATGAAAGAACTCTACAAGGAAAACTATGAAACACTGCTGAAAGAATCATAGATGACACAAACTAATGGAAACACATCCCATGCCCATGAATGGGCAGAATCAATATTGTGAAAATGGCCGTCCTGATGAAAGAAGTCTACTAATTCAATGCAATTCTCATCAAAATACCATCATCATTCTTGACAGAACTAGAAAAACCAATTCTGAAATTCATGTGAAACCAAAAAAGAGCCCACATTAGCCAAAGCAAGAGTAAGCAAAAAGAACAAATCTGGAGGCATCACATTACCTGACTTCAAATTATACCACAAGGCTATTGTCACCAAAGCAGCATGGTACAGGTATAAAAATAGGCACACTGACCAATGGAACAGAATAGCAAACCCAGAAATAAGCCCAAATACTTACAGCTAACTGATTTTTGACAAAGCAAACAAAACATAAAGTAAGGAAAGGACACCCTATTCAACAAATGGTGCTGGGATAATTGGCAAGCCACAGGTAGAAGAATGAAACTACATCCTCATTTCTCACTGTATACAAAAATCAACTGAACTCAAGTTGGATCAAAGATGACCTGAAATCATAAACATTCTAGAAGATAACATTGGAAAAACTTTAGATACTGGCGTATGCAAAGAGTTCATGACCAAGAACCTAAAGGCAAATGCAACACAAACAAAAATAAATAGATGAAGCTTAATTAAACTAAAAAGGTTCTGCATAGGAAAAAATAATCGGCAGAGTAAACAACCAAAAAACTGAGAAAAATATTCACAAACTATGTATATGAATACATACAAGGACTAATATCCAGAATCTACAAGGAACCCAAACAAATCAGCAAGAATAAAAAGCAAACCATCCCATCAAAAAGTGGGTTAAGGCCCTCAATAAACAATTCTCAAAGAAGATATACAAATCGCCAATAAATGTGAAAAAATGCTCAAGATCACTAATTTTCAGGGAAATGCAAGTCAAACGACAATGCAATACCACCTTATTCCTGCAAGAATGGCCATAACTTAAAAATCAAAGCATAATAAACATTGGTTTGGATATGATGAAAAGGGAACACTTTTACACCCCTGGTGGGAATATAAACTAGTACAACCACTATGGAAAACAGTATAAAGATTCCTTAAAGAACTAAAGTAGATCTACCATTTGATCAAGCAATCCCACTCCTGGGTATTTACCAAGAGGAAAAGACGTCAGTATATGAAAAAGACACTTGCGCAGGCATGTTCATCACAACAGTTTGCAATTACAAAAATATGGGACCAGACCAAATGTTGTCCATCAATTGAATGTATAAAAAATGTGAGATACACACACACACACACACACACGCATATATATATACATATATATATACATATATATATATATATATATATATACACACACACACACACACACACACCCCATGGAATACTACTCAGCCATAAAAAAGGAACAAAATAATGGCATTCTCAGTAACCCAGATGGAGTTGGAGACCATTATTCTATGTAAAGTAACTCAGGAGTGGAAAAGCTAACATCATATGTTTTCACTTATGAGTGAGAGCTAAGCTATGAAGATGCAAAAGCCTAAGAATTATATAATGGATTCTGGAGACTCAGGGGAAAGGTAGGGTGTCACAAAGAATAACAGACTACACATTGGGTGCAGTGTACACTGTTCAGGTGGTGAGTGCACCAAAATCTCAGAAATCACCACAAAACAACTTATCCATGTAACCAAATACCACCTGTTCCCCAAAAACCTATTGAAATTAAAAAAATATTAACCATCACACCAAAAGGAGCAGAGGGATGATTATCCCAGGCAAAAGGAATTGCAAGTACAAAAAGCCCTGAAACAGGAGCAATCTTGATTACAAGAGCAGATAGGCAGCCAGTTTCACTGGAACACAGTATGAGGAGAGTTTTGCAAGATACAATTAAAGAGACAGGCAGAGGCTAGATGATACAGGCCATGGTAAGGAGTTTGGATTTTATTCTGTGGGTGCTGGAAATCCATTGAGAGTTTCAAGTGGAGAGTGATATGATCTGATTTACATTTTGTTTTCATTTTTGTATTTTTAAAACAGGATCTTGCTCTATCACCCAGGCTGGAATACAGTGGTTCATTGATGGCCCCATGGCAGCCTCGAACTCCTGGGCTCTAGCAGTCCTAGCAGTCTGAGTGGAAGGCCACATGGACTCCCAAGTAGCTGAGGCCACAGGTGCACACCACCATGCCTGGCTAATTTGTTTTATTTTTATTTTTTGTGGAGTCAGGGTCTCACTATGTTGCACAGGCTGGTTTCAAACTCCCAGCCTCAAGCTATCCTCACACCTCAGTGTCTCAAAGTGCTGGGATTATAGATGTGAATCACTACACCGGACCTCATGTAGATTTTGACAGATCACCCAGCCACTCTGTGTAGTAGGTCTCGTGAGGGGCAAATGTGAAAGCAGAGTGATAAATTACACAGCTATTGCACTCAACTAGCTAAGAGACAATTTGGCTTAAACTAGAATAGGGGCATTTACAGTATATTTTTAAATATGTAAAAAGACCCAGATAGGCATGTTCTTCTCCCTTCCCCTTTGACTCAATTATTCCCACAACTTTGGTCACTTACACACTTCCATTGGTAGAAGTGAACACAAATCTCTGCCGAATTAAGTGTCTACTGTGTTGAATCAGTTATATGGGCTTAATGTATACTTTAGATGAAATTATTATACTAGTTCAAATTATTCATCAGTTTAGTTTTATACTTAATAACCACATTAAACACAGTCATACTCTATCAATGAACCTGGAGAAAATTAGAGGGAAAGTAAAAACTTTTCATCTAAGGGAAAGGAAGGAAAGAAGGAGGGAGGAAGGGAAGAGGAATGATTTTTTATATCAGACTTAGAGTTAAAGAATCCTAAAATAAGAAGTCATAAAAACTGTACAGGTCACAGCCCTGCCAGCAACTTGTTGTGTGACCATGGGTAAATCACTTGATATGGCCCAGATCTTTATTTCCTTTAGTAAAGAGGTCAATTAAACTAATTGTTCTAGAATATTTCTTCTGTTCTCCAAATTATTCTTCTAGGAACCACTGTATGTTTTAGGAATGTTATCCACCTCATGAAATTCAATCTCTGGAGACAGGAGATAAATTATGAATCCTTATTTTCAGATCAGAAAGGTGGGGGTAAATAGAGGCAAAATGATTTTTCAAGATCCCGCAAGCAGTTGATAGTATAGTTTGTTTTATAATGAAAAATCTTATGATAGATATTCAGATATGAAACTTTCCCTATTCTTTTCAGCCCCCAAAAGTGCTTTCAAAATTGGATCCAACAAGGAAGAAATATATACCCCAATTATCTTGTGTAATCTGTCTTTTGCTTGGCAACTTGAGATGAGTTTGACTATCTATAATCAGTGCATAACAAGGCATCCAGATAAGCTAATAAGATATAAGGTCTTATATTGAGCCCTAACAAGTGCTAACCACCTTATTTTTTTATAGCTGTACGATTCTGTGACCGGTGCCATCTGATCAAGCCAGACCGCTGCCACCACTGCTCTGTCTGTGCCATGTAAGTGATGGCCATATTTCCCCTGAGCTGAGCTTAGCTACTGATGGTTGCCTAGACAACAAAATGACTTATCCTAGCATGTAACCATACCTAGATAAGAGCATTTCCTTTTAATCATAATGAGCATATGCCAAAACCCCTCACACGGATGATGATGATTCAAACTACTCTAAAGGTAAGTACAAGAAGTAAGACCACATTTTTAATATAAACATTTTATTTGAGGACAGTTTTAGACTTACAGATTTATTGTGAAGATAGTTCTTATATGTCTCATACCGAGTTTCCCTTATTGTTAACATCTTATATTTGTATGGTACATTTGTTGCAATTAATGAACTAATACTGATATATTATTTTTAACTGAAGTCTACATTTAAATTTCCTCAGTTTTTCCATAATGTCTTTTATGTGTTCCAATATCCCAGACAGGTTACCACATTGCATTTAATTGTCATGTCTTGTCTCCTTAGCTTCTCTTAGCTGTGGCAGTTTCTCAGACTTTACTTGTTTTTGATAACCTTGACAGTTTTTAGGTTTAATGGTCAAGTAGTTTGTAGAGTGTCCCTTGATTGAGATTTTTTTGATGTTTTTCTCGTCATTGTTAGACTAGGGTAATATGATTTGGGGAGAAAGGCCATAGAGTAAGGTATCATTCTCATTACATCATATTAAGGGCATCTATAAACATGACTTATCACTGAAATGTTAATTATGATCATCTGACTGAGGTCATTTGTCAAGTTTCACCACTGTAAAGTTGTTCCTTTCTGTACTGTACTCTGAAAGGAAGCCACTGTGCACAGCCAGCATTAAAGGAATGGGAAGTTATGCCCTCCATCCTTGAAGGTGGAGTATCTATACAAATTATTTCAAGTTATTTTGCTCGGGACACTTATTTCGTCTCTTTATTTATTCAGTCATTTTTATATCAGTATAAAAGCATGAATATTAATTTTATGCTTTGTGTTATAACTCAATACCACTTTATTTATTTTGTTGCCCAAATTGTTCCAGTTTTGTAAAACCCATTTTTATGTTGATACATGTAATCTTCATGCCTTTCCTCTTGAGTGCTTATTCCACCCATAGTTCTCTTACCTTTGATTCAGATAGAGGCTATGTTTTTTTCTTACACGTTTTCTTCTGTATTTTTATTAAACTAAGTATTGAACAAAATTATAGGAGACATCTTGGACCTTTTCTCTGTATTAATAATCTGAAGTTCTCAATCCCTTTGAAAAGTTGGACTTACAGGCATGTAACTTGCTGCTGACATGATCCCATAAAGTGTTGTTGCGACTGACTCATCCTAGGGACAACTGAGGGCCATAGTTTTGGAGTTACTATAGTGGAAATCTGAGAATAGGTGTACTGGAACCATGTAAAAATACTGGTGAAACTTTGAGTTTAATTATGAGGTCTTGCTTCATTTGCATAACCTCACTTATCACATTATATTTTGTCCCCTTTGTAGGTGTGTGTTAAAAATGGATCATCACTGCCCCTGGTATGTCTGTTTGATTCGTTTCTCTCTGATAAAAGGGTCAAAGTTGCTCAATTATATGCACTTTTCTAAGCGTAGTTGTCACATGCCTGTTTCTACCACCGTAATTCACTGGGTTTATATTTCTGTAGGGGAAAGGGGAGGGGTAACATTTTAAAGCAAGAATAAATATAAACCAAAGGTATACTAGTGAATGCCTGGAGTTACAAAGCTAATGATCTCCTATTCATTAACTTTAGCAATTGAGCCTAGTAACAAATAAAGCACAAATATTTCTCCTTTTGATATTTCACAATTCAGTTCTGTTTCTAGATGTCTTGATGTTTGAAATATTCTAGAATGTTAAATTCAGCAGTTTTCCAAATTTTGTATATCAGATTCAGACAGCCAGTCTGAAATCACCTAACTACAAAAAGAACATGCTGCAACTGTACCAAGTGTAGCTGCTAAAACTGTAATACATTTTTAGCTACCAGGATCAGGTTTGCTTGGATGTGTTAGGAAACAGTCCAGAGCTATTAGGTAGGCCAGGTGTTACTGTGTCTGTAAATGAAAGAAGAAACAAGTGAGACACGAACTTGTTTTTCCAGTCTGTTCTTATTAAGGGACTTCTATCTCTATTGGGCTTTTACAAAACACATAATGAAGCAGCAGAACTAGCATGATTCCATTGCTTAGTTCATTTATGTATCAGTGTGCTCTCAAGAGTTGTGGATTTCAAATTAGTTTTTCTTTTTTTTTAGGGTTAATAACTGCATTGGATTTTCCAACTACAAATTCTTCCTTCAATTCTTAGCTTACTCTGTTCTCTACTGCCTGTACATTGCTACAACAGTCTTCAGCTATTTCATCAAATACTGGAGAGTAAGTTAAAAATATCCTGAAGGGTACCCCCAGAACAAACGCACACCCACTCCAATTTGTGACATTGTTCACCCTCTATCTTTTTACATTTTTAAATAGCTTATACTGTTGAAGTAACCAGAAGATAAGGCACTAAAAACAGGTTTTTTATATTGAATACTCTGAGATTTAGGAAGCTGTTATTTAAAGATTCTAGTTAAATTTCTGTCACACATGCAAATCTTGCTAAGGCCTTGAGGAACCTAATCTCTTGACTCCTACTGATTTTTTACAATGTGTTTCTTCAGTTGAGTTTTAAAGATCCACTTTTACCAGTTACAGATTTGAAAAGTGTTGAAACTAATTTTAAATCCCTGGTTTCCTAAGAAAAAGGCTAACAGATTACTCCCCTGTTGTTAGAAAATACTTCCTAATTCCCTATTCAAAGGAAAGTTACAGAATTCCTACTGGACAGAAAGATGTATTGACTTATCTTCACATATGAACAAAATGAAATGGGGAGGGTTTTTCTGTTTTGTTTTGTTTTTTAACTTTGTGTGACAAACACTAGGTTAGCAATTAGAAAAATTGAGATCTGATACTGGATCTGTTACCTGCTTCACTGGCTCATTACCAACATCAAATGAAACAGATGTTGAAAGTGCTTTACCTTTCAAAATGTGATTCTAATAATTATAATGAAATCTCAAAAAAGTCTTTTCATCTACTGAAGATACCAATCATATCCAACTACTTCCTAACAAGAAAAATAAACTTAAAGCAGATTTTTTAAAAATTTACATATGGGTACAAAGTCTGGCAGAAGTATAGTGAAAAATGTTCTTTCTAAATTTCATACTAGTAGACCCCCAAAGATATCTCTTCCCCACAGCTCCAGTACAATTACTAAGACATCCATGATAAAGGCTGTCCAAAGTGAACCTGAATATCAAAAGGCAGATGTGGACAGAGCTACTAGTTATTTAGGAATTGCACAAAAGCCTGTTATAACAGGAATATCTCACCACAAATGGAGACATAAAGCTGTAGAGAAAGAACATGAATTCAGTGACCAGAATACAGATTATAATAAACTAAAGAAAAAAGAAAACAAAGGCAATAGGAACCTAAATAGCCAAGAATATTTAAATTATTAATTAGTGCATTGATCCCTAGTAATATAGAAAAGATAGTATAGAAAATTATAGTGATGTGTGCTTTCCATTTTCCCTTCAACTTGCTTAATTAGTTCAGATATTTAATAACTTTACAAATAAGGAATTATATAATATACGTAATAATCACTAACTCAGGGACCCAAAAGTTTATGCAAAAATAAAACTTTTTCATATATTTTCTGCAAATATAAATGCTTCATCATCTCTTCCTTTGTCCCATTCCACAGCACATGATTATTATAAAATCCACATACTGAGCTTCTACTCTGAATGTGAAGAAAATCTGCTCTGTCCAATCAGTAGGGAAAGCGTCAGCCTTGGTCTTCACTACAGACCTTTTTTGGTGCTTAACACAGTAGGCTACTGTTTGGGAACCACCTTTTACCCTCATAACAAAATAAACAATAATGCATTTTACACATTTTGCCTTTAGCCCACTTAGCCAATAATCAAATATCACAATGCCAGACAGGTGTTATATTCTTTTTTCATATTGGAAAGATAATATTTGGATATGAATTAATCTTCAGAAATGTGCCAGTATTCACAAGCAATACCACGAGTGAACATAATCTTGTTCTCTTTCTATTCCCTCATTTTTTTCCCCACAATGGACTACCTCATGCCTGACAGATGAGAGGCAAAGAATCTTTCCTGGCTTGTCCTAAAATGAAAAGGGCATTGACAGCTCAGAGAAATGCTCCTTTGCAGTCTCTTTAGCCAGGTAACACTTAAGTGTAGTTTAAGTGAATCTCCCCTTAAAATAATAAGTAAACACAGCCATGTATTTTGAAATCCATGTATCAAGGAAACAAGCTGTGCTCCTAACTGTAGCAACCTTCATTTGTATAGTACTTTACAGTTTTTAAAGCACTTTCATACTCCTTATCTCATCTTATCCTTACCACAACCCTGTGAAGTAGGCAAAGCACTAATTATTAGTCTCATTCAAAGATGATAAAAACTGAGGCTCATAGTAGTTAAGTGACTTGTCTATGATTACCCAGCTTGTAAATTTCAAAGTTAGGACTTTGACCTAAATCTGACCCTAAGCTCAGTGATCTTACACACTGTACCATGTCCTACTGCCCATTATAGCTCTGCTTTAGAGAAGCTCTAGCTCCATGGGAATAAAGAATTCAGAAAACCATCTGATTATTTCTCTCTTCTCAATATTAAACAATAGCTACTATTATAAGAGATTGACCTTTGCCTTATGCAGAAAAGTACTAATACATACCTCCTATACTTAGCCGTGAATCTCCTCACAGAGCTATTAATTATTTTAAAAACAAGATAATAGCATTATTCAGCCAGTATTCATCTGATCTGTCTCTGATGGCTATTGCTTTGAGTGATTTAGCTTAGTTATCTCCTGAGAAGGTATTTTTAAACATAGGGCTATCACCCTCTTCTAACAAAAGAAAAAAGTTTCAGAAGAACTCTTATCAAGGGACAACATAGTAGATATGCTTTGACAGACAGAAAAATGTTCTTTAAGAGTAATTGAGTTGGGGTGAGGAAACAGATTTCAGCTCAGCCACACAGACTGCGGACTGACTTTATATCAGTCCCTCTTGTCCATCCATTTTCTACTATCCATTTATATGTGAAAAAATTAAGAAGTAAAATAAATGTCAGCTTTAAAATATTTTTAAAACATTATTTAAAAACTAAAGATTGCAAAAGCAAAAACACAGTCAAGGCAAAGCCAACTGCAAAGCAATATATGGAGTGTTTTCTATAAGTTCAAAATAAAACAAAAACCCCCAATCCAGTTCAATTTGGGTGCTTAGGCCAAGAATATATAGAGGGATCATTTCAAAAAGGAGAGTTTCAGATAAATATTCCTGAAGATGATTGACGTTCTTGAGGTAGCTCTTTCCTGGGCTGCTCTGTCCCTATGCAATTTTCACCTGGACCCCCACTCAGCTGACAGCATCTGACTGGCTGAAGAAAAGGGGAAGCATCCTTATCTTCATCCTTCAGTATACAACCTGGAAGATTTCCAATATTTCCATACATAAAAATGAATAAAAATATTCTCTCGAGAAGAAAAAATCTGTACTATCTGGACTTTCCAAGTATTGCCAAGCCTTAACTCTCTCCTTCCAAACTGAAGTAGAACTAGATCATTCGGAAGTTAAAGTCCACTTCACTTAAGAATCATGTTTAACTTTATTACTAGAGAGAAATTAGAAATATTTCAAAGTGATTCATCACACTGAAACAATAATCATCACAGGGAAGAAGGAAATAAATAATAGTCATTCCCCCAACTGTTCACTCCAAAATTGAAAATGTTTTTTAAGATTCTCTTCAGAAGATAAATGTTATATGCTGCACATGATACAGAACTTTATAACATTCATTCTGGTCTAGGCCGCATGTAGGAAAAAAAGGCTGGTGCCACATGGAAAATAAGATGTCTTAGATAACTATAAAAATCTGTAGCTAACTACTTTTACATTTGCCTGTAAAAATTCTGCTTGATTTTTACTGTCTAGACAGCTGTTTCACAGGATGTAATACACCAGCACATTCTACCTCAGCTTTAAAAAACAACAACACAAAATTTACAACAGCTTTAAAATCAGGTTATGACTTATGAGTAGGACATTTTTAAATTCTACCTATATGTTTTAACTTCTTACATACATCACTGTGACATTTTTAACACACACATGTCCAAGGAAACATGATATATAAAGAATTCCAGAATAACTTACACTGAGGCAAGAGGATAAGGCATATGACTTCAGGATCTCAAACTAAATGGAATATAAGCTGTAAGAGGTTGCATGCCAATTATGGCTTGAGTATACCCTTTTTACATTACCCTTTTATAATTGGTACCTAATATACCCTATTTAACACTGAACTGCACCTAAGCAAGGATCCATTTTAGCCTTTGTAGGCTGAGAGCATACTCACAGATATCATCATTAACCTAAAGAACCATATTATAAAAATTTTACAGAATCTATTTTTAAAATTACAGCTAGACATTTTATACATATGAAAAACTGCTAACCTATATATTAAAAAAAACTAGCCATGCTTTTCCCCTTTAATCTTTTGTTTGTTTATTATTTCTTTTCTAGGGGGAATTACCCAGTGTTCGCTCTAAGTTCCATGTCCTTTTTCTCCTCTTTGTGGCCTGCATGTTTTTTGTCAGCCTTGTGATTCTCTTTGGTTACCATTGTTGGCTTGTCAGCAGAAACAAAACCACCTTAGGTAAGACTTAACATAAAGATTAGGAAAAAACATATTAATGTATATCAGATTGACCTGTGGATTGTTCCCAAGTAAAACTTCCAGTGAAGAATTTTAGCTGCAATAACATCCCTCTACCCGCACACTGAGACAGATGAAAATACATTTTACCAAACTAGAAAGTCATAGTGAATGAAGCTTATAAGCTAATTATGATTATATTTTTTAATGAAACCCCACACAGAAACAAAATTGCCCATTGTTTTATATAGTGTATACTGGGTAATAGCTACCAAGGTTTATAGCTCAGAAGATTTCTAAAAGGTGTTCACATGAAAAAATTAAAGAAAGAATCAGTACAGAAGAGAATGTCAGAATTTATTATGCACATCTAAAAACAGAGCCCTGACAAAAAATCCAAACCAACCACAACAAGAATCTAAGTCTTGAGAAACAAACAAATCAGTGAATATCTGCAATCATCAGGGGGCTCTTTGGGTACTGTGGGAATGAGATAAATACATTGAACAAATGATTTTATAGAAAATTAGTAAAATAAATGAACATATTTTCTGTCAGTTACTCTATAGGCTATTATTTGGAAAACTATATTTCTGATGGATTCCAGTACATTTTATTTCATTGATGGTGAGATAAGTATTTATACTGTGCACAAATCAGTACGTGAGGAGTGAGGATAAATATAAAAGTTTTGAATGTTGAATGTTTAGCTAGGATGGATTTGAGAAAAGTTTAGTGCACAAGCTGCTACACATTGGGAATTTATTTGCTAATGATGCAACAGCTAAGAAAGTATTTGCATCTATGGACCATGCATGATGGCTCACTCCTGTAATCCCAGCACTTTAAGAGGCCAAGAAAGGAGAATCATTTGAGCTGAGGAGTTTGAAACCAGCCTGAGCAACATAGCAAGACCACATCTCTACAAATGAAAATTAAAATAATCAGCTGGGTGACATTTCACAATAGCAAAGCCATGGAATCAACCTAAATGTCCATCAATGGCAAACTAGGTAAAGAAGATGTGGTACATATACAACATGGAATACTATGCAGCCATAAAAAAGAATGAGATCCTGTTTTTTGCAGCAACACAAATGAAGCTTGAAGCCATTATCCTAAGTGAATTAACTCAGGAACAGAAAATCAAATACTACATGTTCTCACTTACAAGTAGGAGCTAAAGACTGAGTACACATGGACACAAAGAATGGAACAACAGACACTGGGGCCTACTTAAGGGAGGGAGGAGTATGGGAGGAGGGAGGGGTCAGAAAAAAATACTCTTGGATTATATGCTTAGTACCTGGGTGACAAAACAATGTGTACAACGAACTCCCAAGTCACAAATTTACCTTTAAAACAAACTTGCAGATGTACCCTGATCCTAAAGTAATAGTTAAAATATTTAAAAATAATAATCATTAGCTAGGTGTGATGGCACATGCTTGTGGCTGCAGCTCCTCAGTAAGGTATATGGGAAGATTTATTGACCCCGGGGGAGGTCTGTTTAAGGCTGCAGTGAGCTAAGATTGTGCCACTGCACTCCAGCCTGGGTGACAGAACAAGACCTATTATCTGTTTTTAAAAATAAAGTATTTGTACCCATTTTCTTAACCAATATATATGTAGCCCCTAGTTGCTATGGTGGTAGATGAGCACATTTGGCTTAGAGAACAGCTACAAAGTGGAAAACCACTAAAAGCTTCCTTATATCAGAGTCTGAAAACAAAGAACAAATGTGAAACAGTCAGATGCAGCTAGAGTCCAACAGTGAAAGCATTTTCTTAATGGGATTACTATGTGTCTAAAATAATGTGCACTAACATGGTCCCATTCTTTATAGTCTTTGAAGTGATTACAGCTCACCAATTGATATATTATCCGCAGTAAAACTCATTTTCTTACATTGCAGGCTTCAGCATCAACACTTTCATTTTTGAAATGTTTCAAAACCAAATCAATGTCATTACCATATCTTTATGTGTCATTACTTTCTTCCCAGCTCTAAAGATGGAGGCCATTTTGCTATTGTTGCCACTTAGATTCAAATAAAGTGCTGTCAAATCTGCTCCTATACTCTAAATTCGGCAGTGCAAAATACATACTAGCCCCATGGTTGCTTAATTATTTCTACCACCATGTGTTTCCTCTGTCTTTTACAAAGAGAGTACGAATTCTTCATATGCAATAAAAAGCTTAGTTTGTGATAAGTGATTAAACTGGTTTTTACTAAGTAATTTAGCAATAACTAAAAATGAGGGGTCTGTGCTACCACCACAAAAAGATATAATAGAAACCAAGTCACATAAATGGAGAATTGTAAATCATGACTATGCCGAAATTTGTTTTTTCATTGTTTTCTTCCTCTTTTCTTCAACTCTCCTGCCCTGCCTTAGAGGCCTTCTGCACTCCAGTGTTTACAAGTGGCCCAGAGAAAAATGGGTTCAACCTTGGCTTCATCAAGAATATCAAGCAGGTGTTTGGAGATAAGAAGAAGTTCTGGTTAATACCTATTGGGTCCAGGTGAGTAAATATTACCAGTGGAAAAGTTAGTGCTAGACCATGCCTTAAAGTGTCAAATTTAATTTTGATTGCAGTATGCAGCAGGTATCAGCCCAATGTGAAACTCTATTCCCCAAATTCTTCATTTCTAGTTTAGTAAAGATAAATAAAGAGGTGAAGGTATGATAAAATATATATTCTCATGCTTTCTTTGTGGCAATGTACAGTGGCACTACCAATCTTTTATAACTGAATTTGGTAATACCTATCAAAAAACATAAGAATCTACATGTCCAACATCTTAATAATTACATTTCTGGGTATTGAATCTATCCTAAAGACAGAAACAAACTATGCACAAAAATGTTCATCACAGCATTATTTATAGCAAATAATTAGGAAACAACCTAAATATCCAGTAATATGGGGATGGATACATAAATGTGTGTGTGTGTGTGTGTGTGTGTGTGTGTGTGTATGCATGTGTGTGTGTTTCTACTGGGTGGAATATTATATAATCAAAAGTAGTGGTTATAAAGCCTATTTCACAAAAAGGGAAAATGCTTACTGTATTTTAAATGCAAATGAAAAATCCAATACACTGTGATTAAAAACATATATAGAAGGAAAACAGCAGAAGATAAATATACCAAAAAAGTTAGAAATTATTTATCTTTTCTCCATTTCTCATATTTTGTCATTAATGCTAATATTATTTTATGAACAAAAAATATAAAAAGCAAGAGCAAAGATTAATTTAGAGGTTGTAGGTAATTCTTAGGACTGCAACAAGAATTCAGGGAAAGCAGTGGATGAGAAATAAACAGTCAAGCTAGTATTCTCTGAATGACTTTGTTAACTAGATTGAACCACCATCAACTAAACTAGCTCTGGAGCAGAGCTTGTTTACCGCCTTCTTGCAGCCCCCTTTTGGTCCCCTCCTTAGACAGGGATACATTTATGTTCACTTAGTTGAGGAAACTTTGTTGTGGGTAGGGTGGCAATTAAGGAAAAATTTCTCCTCCCCTTCACCGATTGCCTTGATACTTCCTGTGTACCAGTTAGTGTTTTACAAGCTCATTCATTTCAAAGATGTGGTGTATCCTACTATACAGTTTATAAATCACAAGGCAAAACTATGTCAGTGGGCAATATTGATTAATAACTGTTACCAGATATTACCTACACTCTATTCACATGCTCACATACACAAATATGCACACATCGTCATCACATCAAAGGGAGGTGTAAAATGAGTCTTCTCTGGAATAAAGAACAAAATCAAAAATCAAAGCCCATTCATTTATAATCAGTATACTTACATGCTCTTTAAAGTACTATCAATAAAATCTGTCAACTTTCAATTAACCGCATACACGAACAGGAGAAAAGGCATAGGTAACATCAAAAGTCATCCATACTTAAATTTGGAGTGCATTCAGATACCTAAACTGAACTGTTCAAATTGTAACCCAGGGCCAGGGCCAGCTCAGTTCCCTCCAATACATCCCATCTGTTAGTGGCCAGAAATTAACCAGGGAGTTGACCCTAACTTACCATAGGTAGCCACAAAGCAGGACTCCACAGGTGCATAATTGCCCCAAAATCTGCACTCTAGAGATATGGCTCAATCTGACTCTTTTTCCTAGTTTCTAACAACCCTTCTGCCATGCAAATCAAATAACAGTACATTCAGGCATTGTCTTTCACCAATTCACACCAGCTTATATCCACTGTATTCAATGTTTCAGAGACTGGTCATCTTTCTTGAGAACTTAGAATCAAAGCATTAAAATAATGGGATATAAATTGGTATCATCATCACTAAGTGATATGTATGAAGTCTGCTGTGTGTGCATATTGCCATACTGGGCATTTTGGGAAGCAAATTAAAGAGTTGCTTACAAACAAGATGTTAATGATGCAGACACACAAATAATATATGGAAACTGAGAGCAATACAGCAACTAAATGATGCTATTGTAAGAGCCCATGCCACTGTGGCCTTAGACAATAAGACTAAATATGCCTAAGAAACCCCCTCTTGTTTTTAAGAGGATTATAACCTTTACAAAAGTCTATGTCAGCTGCAATAAGTCACTGTCTTTCTTTTCCAACTAGCCCTGGTGATGGACACTCCTTCCCTATGAGGTCTAGGAATGAGTCACAGGACCCACTGCTAGCAAATGAAGAACCCTGGGAAGACAATGAGGATGACAACCGAGGTAAGTAGGGTCAAAGACTATGAAGTCCACATTAATACGATCAATGTAATGTGGTGAGTAAATAGGGTCCAGAAAGACTTTATAAGCATGTCAACCTCAAGTGTCCTATGGATAGAGGAGAGTAAGTATGGCCATATTTGTTTAGTAACCATGGGTAGTTTAAATAAGATTAGATGGCAGCTTGGGAGGTCCTTACCAGATATATGATTCCATGTTTTATATCACAAGTCAGATATAAACCTGGGTATCTATGGATTTCTAAACAATCCCAATGCATAGTCACTTGTACTGCTTTGCTTGAATGTGGAGTTCAGTTTAATCAATGGGTAACAATTCACCTCTCTCCATCCTCCTTCATTCACACTGATTAAATTTTTTTTAATTGTATACTCACTCGCTTTTCGGTACAGTTTAAATACACTAAAAACTAAAAGATAGTAGTGGGGGTAAGCCTACATATGCATGTAGTCTACTTTTCTAAAAGGAAGAGGGGCAAAGGAAAGCAAATTTCAACTTTCTCCCACCAGGTCACTGGGTCATCCTACGGTATTTTGTAAGAGCTAAAAGTTGAGTTCTCGTGTAATATATCCCCATTGCCAGCCCTATTCCTTGTCTCCACCTGTTGCTGTGCCTACTTCTGTACCTCCAACGTTTACTTATGTTGCTAATACCAGCCATTAGAGAGTAGTTTTTGGCTACTGTTCCCAATAATGCAGTAGCTGGTAGCAATTTTGTGTAGGAACTTGTAGTAGCTATCACAAACTGTACCTCGGGTGAAGGAGGCTAAATGAGTACATGGAAAAGCACTGAAGTGGGAGCAAGTCTTTCTAATTTTTTGTCTAGTTGGATTATCTAGGCCCTGATTACCTGGAAATCTAGTTTTAGAGAAAAGCATGTTACTAGAGCCAAGGAATACAAAACAGCCACAAATCCGTAGATAAAAAAGAAAACAGTTCTTGCTCATCCCAAAGAACTTACAATGCAAGCAACCCCCTTACTTTCTCCTGCTGACTATTGGAAAATTCACTATATTTTGACCTATCTTCCTTCAGTCTTCAATCTTTCTGAACCGACTTTTATTTACGGCAGTCACGAGTGATAACAACCCCTTATTTTGGTGTTAAACCCAAACTCTAATAGAAGCCAAAGACTTAACAGGTCTTTACTTGATTTAAAATAATTCACAATGGAAAAAATTATTCATATCTGAGCTTTGTGTTGTCAAGTGGAATACTTAAAATGTAGGTATAGCACCACATCATAAAGAGGTTATTTCTGGAAGCAGTCTCCAATTCCAGACCTTTTCAAAATATTCAATTATTAAAAACTAGTATGTTATTTTATAGTTGGTAATGTGCTTTCCTATACTTTTTCTTTCACCCTCACAACTTTGAGGTTAGATGGGCAGTGTTATTAATAACATCCCCATTTTATAATTGAAGGAACTAAAATTCAGAGATGTTAAGCAAACCAACCTCACATATCAAGATATCTTGATTCGAAATCCTGGGTTTCTTCTACTACAATGCTATGTCTCTCCTTTGGACAAGTACATATGTGACAGTGCTGTGATTGCATGCCGTTTTGTTATCTGAAGCATTCAACTGCTCTTTACTTAATCATAAAATCATAGACTGTAAGGCACCTTTAGCTTTAGCAAGACGACTATGCCATTGTGGATAGCTGAGGGTTGTTTGTTTTTTTAAGTTCATTGAAGGAGATTCCACAATCCTCCCTTGTAACACATTTTAGTATCTAATGCAAGTTCTCATGCTGTATTGTCAGGTCAATTCTATATGATCTTCAGTTGCTCCCATTTTCTGTGTATAACAGTCATGTGCAAACATCTCTTACACTTTTAACAACTTAGATTCCTAGGAAAGGTGCTGTAAGTTGAAATTACATGTGCATATTAAACTTTATTTCTTTTAGGAAACAAGTCGAATTTTTATTCCTAGCCCAAAATATGACATTTCATTTACTATAAATATACTTGTACATCCAGGCACAGTGGTTCATTCCTGTAATCCCAGCACTTTGGGAGGCTGAGATGAGTGTATCATCTCAGGTCAGGAGTTCGAGATCACCCTGGCTAATAAGACAAAACACCATCTCTACCTAAAAAATACAAAAAAAATTAGAGGGGTGTGGTGACACATAGCTGTAATCCCAGCTAATTGGGAGGATGAGGCAAGAGAATTGCTTGAACCCAGGAGATGCAGGTTGCAGTGAGTTGAGATCACACCACTGCACTGCAGCGTCAGCAACAGAGCAAGACTCCATCTCAAAAGAAAAAAATGTACTTGTACATTGCATAATGTAAAACAAACATTCCAAAGTGTATATAAAATTGTAAAATATGCTAACAATAGCCTGTTAGGTACAAATATAATATCACAGTCAAGAACTACATAAAGCCTTTATGTTCTTTGAAATCCCTGCCTTATATTAACACAGCCAATTATAAGATTAAAAAAAAACATCTTTATGAAATCAAGGGATTTAATAGGCTTCTATTATGTCATTTTGAAAATGAAAAGGATTAATGCACAAATATATAGAAAATGCATAAATCCCTAGTGTATAGATCCATGTAGTCTTCTGAGGAGATTTAACAGGCATCTTTTTAAAGACTTTTGAGAAACTTGGGGCTACAGTTTAGCTTTTTGAGGAAATGATCCAGAGATGTCTGTTCTGTTACCACTTTTGCTCATTATAAATTTTCCTGTAGCTTACATAATAAAAATTAAAGATTACAATATAACTCTTTCTGCTCTATTCAAATTGGGATCCATTTCCTTCAAATTGGATGGGTGGCATCTATGGCTCTACCTGTCATAAGTATCATGAATAGTAAGTTGGGTATGATTGTCAGGATGATTCTTAAATGAAAACTGCTGTGGGACAGAGCCTGCCTGTATGTGAAACCCAGAAAGAATTTCTTCAGCTTTCCCAGGGTGAAGAGGGTAGGAGTAATCCTAGTTCCTTAATATTTCTTGTACAGCTGATTTCTCAGTTTTTTACATCGTTATGGCTCTAGTGCCTTTTTTAATGTTCTGTTCCTTTTTTTTTTTTTTTTTTTTGAGATGGAGTCTCATTCTGTTGCCCAGGCTGGAGTACAGTGGTGCAATCTCAGCTCACTACAACCTCTGCCTCCCAGGTACAAATGATTCTCCTGCTTCAGCCTTCCAACTAGCTGGGACTACAGGTGCATGCCACCATGCCCAGCTTATTTTTGTATTTTTAGTAGAGTCAGGGTTTCACCATGCTGGCCAGGCTGGTCTCAAACTCCTATTTCTTTATTGTTTCAGTAGTAGCAAAGCCTCTGCCATTTTCCAAGTATCACTCCTTTCAAATTAGTTGCTGAACTCTTTGATTGTGGTCATTTATTTGAGATGCAGTATCCCTGGAAATCTGCAGGAGATAGCCACAGTTAATATTCTCTATGCAGTAAAGTTAACAGAGACATTGACAAAGACTCCAGCAGCAGAGTCATGGGTTTTTTTCATTTGCAAAGGAATAACTCTAGTTTTTAAATATATATACTTATTTATTTGTTTTCTTTCATTGTAAAAATTTAAGATTTGCAACATGATGTTTTGAAATACAAATATATAGTGAAATGATTACAAGTAAGCAATTTATCAAATACATCATCTTACATAGTTACCTTTTTTGTGTGATAAATACTTAAAATCTACTCTCTTAGAAAATCTCCAATATACAATATAATATTATTATATATAGGCCCCATGCTGTACTTGAAATCTCTATATTTGTTCATCTTACATAACTACTTACTTTGTACACTTTGGCCTACATTTCTTTTGCCCTGCCTGCCTCTGGTAACAACTGTTATATTCTCTGGCTCTCTCTTTGTCTTAGACTCCACACATGAGAGAGATCATGCAGTATTTTTCTTTCTCTGTCTTGCTTATACCACTTAACATTATCCTCCAAGGTTCATCCATGTTGTTGTAAATGGCAGGAGGGCCTTCTTTTTTAAAACCGAATAATAATCAATTGTGTATCTGTCCCACAATTTATTTATACATTCACCCATCCACAGACACTTCAGTTGTTTCCATAGCTTAGTTACAGTGAATAATGCTGCGGTAAACACGGGAGTGCAGATATCTCTATGAGGTACTGACTTTATTTTATTGGATATATATACACAGAATTGGGATTGCCAGATCATATAATAGTTTTATTTTTCAGTTTTTGAAAAACCTTCATACTGTTTTCCGTAATGGCAATACCACTTGAAATCCCCTTAGCAATGGATAAGGATTCCCTTTCCTCCACATCCTCACCAACATTAGTTAACTTCTGACTTTTTGAGAATAACCATCCTAACTGGTGGAACATGATATCTCATGGTGGTTTTGATCTGCATTTCCATAAAGATGAGTGATATTGAGCATCCTTTCACACACCTGTTGGCCATTTGAATGTTTTCTTTTGAGAAATGTCTATTCAGGTCCTTCACCCATTGTTTAATCTAGGTTGTCTTTTTTGTTGTTGTTATTGTTTTTGGGTTTTTTTGGTTTCTTTTTTTACTGTTGAGGTGGATGAGTTCTTCGTATATTTTGGGCATGAACCCCAGATATGTAGTGTGCAAATTATTTTATCCCATTCTGTAAGTTGCATTTCATTTTTTAAAATTTCAAAATTCCAGTTTCTTCTTTCTTTTTTAAAATGTTGGATGTATCACTATGAGGAAACCATATTTATTTTACTTAAAATTATTAATACAAAGAATCTAGGAACTCAAAATTGCACTGAGGTTTTAAAAATATTTTTATAATAGATATACATATTTAAGGGGCATATGTGATTTTTTTTATACATTCACAATGTGTGAAGATTAAATCAGGCTAATTGGGATATCTGTCACCTTAAATATTTATCTTTTATTTAATAACATTAAAATTATTTTCTTCTAGCTATATTGAAATGTACAATAGATTATTGTTAACTATAGGCAACTTGCTGAT